CTTAAAACAGTTACCTTCTCACAGTTATCATATCATCAATAGAAACTCGAGCATCTCTTCGTTGAACAACATTCAAAGCAATGGTTCCATCTTGTATCCTCTCGTGTCCAGTATATAAACAGTTAAGTTCACCAACAAATCCGACCAAACAAAGGGAACAAGTGTAACATGCGGCAAATATAAGAGTCATGATCACAAGCTTCAAACCAATGTAACCATTGTAAGGTACCAAAACGGCTATGAGAAGGAGAGAATGAAGACGTCGGAGACGTTTCAGAGGAAGAGATCGGTGCCGGGAACAAAGAACTGACAGAGGTCGGAGACAGAGCAATAAGCTAAGTTGATGAAAACTAGCTCTGTCGCCGGAGTGGTTGTCACTCTATACGTGATACGACCCCCTTTCTACTGAAAGCAAAGCTATGTCACAGTCCACAGCTCTTACCCATTGATGTTCTCGGACAAAGATCATGATTATGCTGACCACTCAACCAAAAGTTCCTCAAAGGAGGAGCATGAACAAGTGCTTGCAACACAACATTCATGAAACAAGTGCTTCCTAGATTGTTCAAACCTCTTAACCCCAAAGGAAACTACCATTTCTCTCTTCGATCTCTAGGCGAGACCAAAAACTTCGATCCTATAATCAATTACGAATCCAATCTCCTCTTCTTGTTCGATCTAACCGTAGCAACAACATCTGCTCCAGATTTAACATACNTACCTAAACCTCTAAGCTGCTTAGACACAACAACCTCGTCGAACTCAGGATCGTACACTTGATCGATGCAAGACCAACAATAAACCTCAGATCTTTCGACATCAATGGTGATATCATGTCCTTTATTCGATTGGGTATGCAAAAGAATATGACTTGAACAAGAAATCGAACGACCATAACGACATCTCCGACCACTACGTCTTCTCCGGTGGACTCGCCACCGTCAGCTCCGACCTTATTTCTTTCTGATTCACCACTACTACTCTTCCTTTCAAGCCACCTCCTTCGTTCCCCACATATTCGATCCCGTCCGTGAATACGCATTCTCCTCCACTGTTTTCTTTACTTTTCGCCAACCGCCGGTGAATAAGACTTCTTAAGCCTTCCCTTCTCCCAACAATAACAATAACTGGGTATCTCGATTTCGCGAAGTTTGATCTTAATTTCACGGGAAAAGAAGAGAACGAAGAGAAGAATTGATCTCAAAATTACTCTCGTCCAAAATTAACCTTTTCAATTTAATTATAACTTTGAATAATATTTGAATCAATTTTCATAAATGTATTCTGTTTTAATATTATAGAGATTTATTATCCCTTATGGTAACTAATCATCGTAATCGATGACAAAATTTTGGTCGAATATTTTGGTTTGTTATAACTTTTTTTGGGTCTGTATAGTGATAAATATATGCTTAACCTT